CACCTGCTTCCTCGCCGGGCAGCCCCGCACGCTGCTGCACTTGTAGTAGGCCCTCGAGTCGTACGGGCTGCGGGTGGGGACAGAACAGAGGGATCAGATCTTTCCACGGCATCGTCAGATTAAAAAATGGAAAATGATAGGGCACACTCTCAACCACATCTCAAACCATACCCTTCTAGTGTATCATATGCTAAAGTGCATCGGGTTTCACATGAGAATTTAAAATTTTAAAATTTCATGAGGCCCGGTATACTGTAGCATATGAGAAAGGGGGTATGGATTAAGATGTGGTTTGGGGTGTGTCTCTAGTGCCACCCTTGAAAAATCGAACGGTTTCAAAGAGGCGGAGGATAGTTACCTAGGGTGAGGGGACCCCTTGATCGGCTTCTGACCGTACTTCCTCCATGAGTAGTTGTCGTTGGGGATGTCGGCGATCTTCGAGCTTATCGCCGGCACGCGGATTGATCTCCTCACCCGATTTTTCCTGTAAGAAGGCGCACGTTAGAGAAAGCAACTACACACATTTACTGCTAACGTGAGCCGGATCTGAGGAGTTTTTTTGTCCTCACTTTTTCTTAGAGCAATGGCAGCGGCCGCCGGAGCGGTGCGTTACCGCCGGAGCCGGCTGGGGCCACTTCTTCTTGGACGAGGAAGCGAGCGGTTCTGCCCGTTGGGAATACGGTGCGGTCGCCGCCGGCCAGTGAGGAACAGAGACGAATCCTTCCCGTCTGGAAACACTTTCATCCGCGGTTCATCGACGGACAGGAACAGAGGAGTATCCGGAGAGATCGGCGGTGAGATGCTGATAAGAATCATCACGTGAACTGTCCTTTCGCGGCGATCTTACCGGACGGGTGAGCGGTTCGGCGGTTGGTGAACGTCAAAGTGTGAGCCTCGAGACGCGGGAAGACACACACCGGAGGAGGAATCGAGCGGGTGAGCTACAGTTCACGCGGCGGCGGGCGGCGGCGGGGATTCGGTCGTGAGCCTGGACCGGCCGCGCCCTGACGGCGTTGGCCCGTTCGATCGGAGGCGTTGATGAACTCTTGAACTTGGCAGACGGGTTGTTGGTGATGTCCGCGAGTCGAAGGAAGAATGACGCGAACGAAGATTGCATGGCGCCCGAGGTGAGGACGAGGGCTTCCATGCTCTGGAGGCCTGCGATGGCTGTCCTTCCTTGATCCGATTCTGATCGTCCATTTTTCGAGAAGTTTCATCAGAATCGACGGCCATCGACGGGTGGTGAGGAGATAAGAATTGGGTTTGGGGAGGAGAGTCGGGGATTTATAATCGGAGAATCGCGTTTGGCTTTGGAAATTGGCGAGAACTAAAGAAATGGGGGTTTTCGTCAGTAGGATCGACGGCTTCTGAGTCGATCTTTCCCTTTTTTTTTTAATCTGGTTTTTTTTTTTTTTTGATATATGAACCCCTCTTCTTAGATTTAATTGGCATCAGGTGCTTTAGTCAGCGAAGCACAATCTCTTTTGTCCTTTTTATTTAATTATTATTATTTGCTTTTATATCCTGTTCTTTTCTCTGGGGAGTTTGTAATATCTACCCTTGATTAGATAAGAAATAACGCCGTAGTTATTTTCTTGCACTTATGTTTACCTGGTTGGGCGTCCTTTGATCAGCTAATTAATAGTTCGTGCTAAGAATAAAATATTTGTATATTATTTTTATTTTAAATTTATATTTTCTGGAGTAATCAATTTACCTTGGTTTTGTAGCTTCTAACTTTCTTTTGGTCTTGATTTTTTACGCGACGCCCGTTGAACATGCTAATTTGATGGTTTACATTTATTACAAGTTCAACATGAAGTTTCTCAGGGTTTTTTCTTTTTTTTTCTTAATGAATTAGCGCATGTTTAGATTCTCACTAGGAGTAGGTAAAGTTATGAAAAATAGGGGAGAGAAGAGGAGAAGTTAAGAGAGCTTCCTTCGGAAAAAAAATATAGGGAACATTTGACCCCTTAAAAACTATCCAAATGGGACGAGAGATCTTCCCTTTATTTCTTGTTCTCGTATCTCCTCAATCTAAATAAGGTCTCGGTAAACTTCAAATATTAAGCACTTTAGTTTCTACAATTTCTTTTCTATCACATTAGCATCACCTTTTCACTATCAATCTTCGGTTATTGCGAGACACTAAACGAGTTGACCGTGTCTTTCTTCTTACCAAGACTTTCAAAAAAAGAAGGGACGGAAAGGAGATTACAAGTTAACGGTATGAATTTAAGAAGTTGTTTGTTATAATAAAAAAAAGGAAAAAAGGAGACGGGGCGCTTACGTTGCAATAGGGTATTGCCCAAGGGTGTACGTGCAAAAAACTTCTTTTTCGTATCCTGTACTAGCAAAACAACGCACCTTCCAGGCATCAGTTTGGTGTGAAAAAGCCAAGACGTGTAAGTTGGACTCACTCCCTCCCTCCGTCTACGAAAAAATATAAAATAATAACAATAATAATAAACATTTTTTTAAATCAAAATCAAAATATTGCCCGAAATATCGCTTTACCGATACAACCTTGGGCCGTCCGGTAGGCGGACTGCCAAGGCAAGGGCGGCCCACTTGGTGTGAAATAAGGCCCCGCGTATTTGTCCAGATCTGGATCATGCTTTCGAGTCTCATAAACAACTGCACCAAAAAAAGTCCCAATTTGAGCTTCCGTATCTCCTCAAATCTCCACCTGAAATAATTAATTTTGGTTGCTGGTAATAATCTACGCTAGAAATTATTAAGAGGCACACGAGACTAATTTGACAAAACCCCTGACTAATGAGAAATTATAGGCTTTCGTAAAATGAGTATCGCGTGGGTGTGGGAGCTCGGTTTCAACGTGAGTAGCTGTCAAGTAAATAGTTTTTTTTTTTTTTTGGAAAAAATTTGTCAAATTATTCTATTAACAAACCTTATGTAATTTGAGTTTTGTACTTGATCAGCTATAATGTTAGTTGAGATTGTCAAATTTCCATTGACAAATATATAAGGGATTGCTTTTGTTCGTACGTCAATTTAAGGAGACATCGGACGTTAAATCACGCAATTGGGCTCAGGTCTAGCTTTTTCTCAGACCTGATTCGTTTACCCCGGCCGCACGTGATATCTAATTATAAGGCGGTTTTTGTTGCTACCTTAATTTTTGAATGGGTTATATAATAAAATGCTAAATATTCATATTGGTATTTTAATTCTATCCTATTTTTTAAGAAGGTATTTTAATTAGACAAACATGTTTTAAGGTATTTTAATTGATTCAACTTACCAACAAGACCCTTTTTCTCGTCGGCGACTAGTTTTCCGACGAGAGCTCGTCACGTGCGTGACACGTGATGACTTGAACTGTTTTTTAGGTGCTGACGTGACACGGATTTTCTGACGTAACAATGTTTAAATGCGGGAATTAACAGTGTTTAAATGCGGAAATTAACCCTCTAAAAATCCCAATTCACCAAAAATAGGACAGATCTGTGCCACATCAGCAGCTAAAAAACAGTGTAAATCATCACGTGCCACGCACGTGACAAGCTCTCGCCGAAAAACTGGTCGCCGACGAGAAAAATGACCTTGTTGGTAAGTTGAATCAATTAAAATACCTTAAAACAGTTTTGTCTAATTAAAATACCTTCTTGGTAAAATGAGGTGTAAATTAAAATACTAATATAGGTATTTAGCCTATAATAAAATATAACTACGTAAAAAGTAAATATTTTAAATTAAATTCCTCTTCCTTACTCAAGAGATTTATCATTTCCGCGTGCGGTCGAGTAAAATGCTTGTATTGACTTATCCCTAAGCCAACTTTAACTAATATCGGATGAATTAGTGATATTTTTTTAAATTAGAAAAGCAATCTCATATTCATTTTTCTCCAAAAAAAAAAACCCGAATGTATCTGAGCCGTTGGATTTGGGTTGTCGGATCTGACGACGAGGTTTCGAAGAATGAGTTGACTGTGCTCTTTCTAATGTTATACAAGTCAAACACGCCGTCTCCCGAGGGCTCCACGCTAGATGTTGACACGTGGAGGAAGACGGGGGATGAGCTGTCAACAGCAGAGAAAGCGAAAACTTTAGGACGCAATTAGTTCCCGATGCTCGTAATTTTTTGTTTTCTTTAATGATGAGTCGCGACTTGAGAGGCGAGAGCATGTGCCCAAAAGTCAACGAATAGAGCGGGCGAACTTGATTAATTCCGTCTTTCCCATATAAAATGATTGGGTAGTTTTCCCTTTATTGCATTCAAAATAAATCGAGGCGATTAATATTCTTAAAGAAAACGCTAGAGGCACACTCTTAGACCATATTTTTAACCATATTCCTCTCTCGTTACAGTACACTGGGACTCACATGAGAATTTTTAAAAAAAAAATCACATGGGCCTAGTGCACTGTAGCGAGAGAAGAGTGTGGTCGGAGGTGTGGTTTAAGATGTGACTGTAGCGTCTCTCTATTCTTAAATAGACAGAGTCATTCCTTTTAATTATTGTATTGATTTAATAGTAAGCAGTTTTGTTTTATGCTTACATTAAATTGAAAGTAGACATGTAGGTTAAACATATACATTCATGATTGCGCGTTTGGAGTTCAAAAAATAGACGTTCCTTATGTTCTACCTCGACTTAGGTAACTAGACAGAAATTGAACTCGAGACCGTGAGAGCCATATTGAAACATCCTAACACTTTCAGATTACTGGCGATGAGATCCTTAATCTGCTACTAATATGCAATAAATGTATCCCCATCCTGAAAATAAACCTGTCTCCATAGGTCCCACCCTAACTCAGTTCAGCCCAAAATAATAGATAGGAATCAGACCATAGACCATGGGAGCCTTATTATAACATTCCAACAGTTCGGATCACATGCAGTGGGATCCTTAAAATTCTAATTAATGTACGATAATTTTACTAATTCATAATGAATAATTTTACATCGAACGCGGACATTCCACGACCACGTCAACAACAAAGAGACGCGCGTTGCGGTCCTCAACCAGTTTATTAAAGCCCATTAACATTTGTTGCCCATTAACATTTTTAGGTCAACCCGCAGTATACAGCCCAATTATAGAAAAAGTCCCACCGCGTCTGGCCCATTATAAGCGCGCAGGTTTCATGGCCTCCAAATTCGAATAGCACTCACGTAAAATTGAAAGAAGGAAGCAAATGGAGTAAATTAGTCATCACAATGATTTACGGTCTACGGCTAAAAAATAACTATAGTTTTGGAGTTCATAAAGAGATTAGGGCGCTTGTATAGATGGGCATCTTTTGTCTTTATATATAAATGTTTGAGATGGGCTAAGGATAAGGGTCTGGCGTTCGAAGGCCCAACTCGTTCCATGTTGGGCTTTGGGAAAAAAATGCAACGTCGGCGTAGTAAAATTAGCAAAGCTAAGCTCGGCCATTATAATTAGTAACAAATTATCCTTACTTAAAAGTGTATTATCTTTCGACTATGGTAGATTCCATGCCTATCCTTGTGATATTTAATCATGTATTTATTTATCGTTGGTTTAGTTCTCAATTCTCATAGATCGCCTTTGGTCAGTGGGATCACGGGGGCCCGAATGAGAACTTTAAATAAACAAATAATACACACAAAAAACATACAAGAGTGGGGATCGGAAAAATAATCTCACTATCGTCCTGGTTCTAGTGTTGTTTTATTAAAAAAATTAAAATAGAAAAAGATTTTCTGGGATCTAGTGCCCATTTGCATCTATCTACTTTCTGTTCCCTCGCAGCTTGGCATGCTTCGTCGACGCGACTAGCTCCTCAAGGGGCCCACTGAGCTAGGCAAAGCCAGTGAAGATCCTAATTTTTAACCTGGCATTATTGTTTTGTCTAATTTCTGATGAAAAATTGAACAAATTGTTGTTGGGTATCAACTATCAACTCAAACCCCAAGTTAGTATAGTGTTTTTAATTCTTTGTATGAGTTTATGAGAATTAGATATATAGGGTTAGATATCTATCATGATTAGGAGTTTGGGTTCCATCATGATTTGGAGTTTGAATCTTATTCTAATTAGGAAGTTAGGGCTAGAGATAAGAGTTTTGATTTTCCTATATATGTCCTTCTATTGTTAGAGGAAAAACCAAGAAGAATAAGTGTTGAGAGAAAGAGATCAGAGACATGGTTTGGCAGTCTTTGTCCGTGCAAAAGATTGTAATTTGAAGGTGATAGTTGATTGGTTTTTGATCCCGTGGTTTTTTTTCCCTGTTGAGG